TTGAGAGGTTTAAAGTGATAACAGACTACAAGAACCTAGAATACTTCATGAAACTAAGGATGCTAAACGAGCGTTAGATGAGGTGGTTGTTGCTCCTAGGTTGGTACAATATGGAACTGCTGTACCGGCCAGGAAAACAGAACGTAAGAGCAGACGCGCTCTCACGACGAGAGCAGGACATGCCTGCAGGAATGGACGACGAACGGTTACAGAAGCGTTTCGTCCAAATACTTAAGCCTACGAACTCCTACTGTGAAGAGTTGTCTAAAGAGGACTTAGTGGGGGCTAGGATGGTGTTCGCTGCAAGGATACGCACCCGCTCCACTGCCAAGCAGAATTCGGGGGAACCGTCTACCAAACAAGTGACGGTAGAGCAGAACGAGCTAGAGAAGCTCTGGCAGGACGCAGCACAGCAGGATAGAGTCTACCAAGGCGCCAAGAAGACTATTGAAGAGCGGGGAAGGAGGTTCCCACTAAGCCTTAGTCTAAAGTGCTCGACTGAAGACTGTTTAGTAGCGGATAACCTACTGCTATACCAAGGACGCAGATAGGTGCGCGATAGTGAGAGACTACGGACCCAGATTGTTAGCGGCGCACACAACTTCTTAGCAATAGGCCACCTAGGACGCAAAGTAACGTACAAGATACTCGCGAAAGACTACTTCTGGCCAGGCATGACGCAGACAATCTGAAGATACGTCAGAAACTGCGATACCTGCGGGAGAAGCAAATCGTGGAGGGAGGGCAAACAAGGACTCCTTAAGCCTCTCCTAATTCCTGCTTAGATTTAGAAGGAGATCTTAATAGACTTTATAGAAGGACTACTAGAAAGCAAAGGCATAACAAGCCTTATAGTGATTATAGATAGGTTAAGCAAAGGCACTATCTTTGTGCCGCTCCTAAACACCTAGACGGAAACAGTTGTCTGAAAGTTCATTAAAAGAGTGGTTGCATACCACTAGCTGCCTAACGCGATCACGTTAGATTGTAGCAGCTAATTTGTAAGTACTCTATAGGCGAAGCTCTGCGAGCTTCTAAAGATTAACTAGAGATTGTTGACGGCCTACTACCCGCAGACAGACGGCGCAATAGAGAGGATGAATAGTGTATAGGAAACCTACATCCAATCCTTCACAAACTGGGCTTAGAACAACTAGGCGCTGCTATGCCCTATGGCCCAGATTGCAATCAACTGGCGAGTCGCCACGTCGACAGGCGTATTACTGTTCTTCTTACAGCACGGCTACGAGGTAAACCTACTGCAGATTAAGCTAGGAGAAAGCTCAAGACAGCCAAACCCAGCCGAAAGGCTCTTAGACGTACAGAAGGCGCAAGAGATAGCCTTAAAGCTCCAGCAGGTCACAGAGTTGGCCCAGGCTGCTATGGCAGAGGCACAACAGGAACAAGAGAGGCAGGCGAACAAGACTTAGAGGGAAGCACAGAGCCTTCGAGTAGGGGACAAAGTTTGGCTAAAACTTAACCAGCAGTACAGTACAAGGCGGAGCTCTAAGAAGCTTAATTAGAAGAACGCCAAGTATACTATAATTAGAGTAGTCAATAGCCATTTAGTTTAGCTGGATACCCCGCCTAGCCCTCACCTAGTATTCCATGTGGACAGGTTGAAACTCGCTAGCAACGACCCACTGCCAAGCCAAGCCCAAGACGACGAGCAGCCGCAGCCACTGCAGGTGGACGGAGAAGACGAATGGGAGGTAGAGGATATTGTAGCAGAAGAGGTACGCCGCTGCGGAAGGGGGCGTAAGCTATACTACGAGGTAAAATAGAGAGGCTTCCACCAAACAACGCTCGAACTAGCAGACCTGCTAGTAGACGTAGAAGCAGTAGACTAATAGGAGGCCTTTATAGAGACGAAATGGGACAGTAAAGGCCGCCTCCTAGAAGGGTTCCAAAGAGACGGTGCAACTTCAGCTAAAGGAGGGGGTATTGTAACGAGCTGAGCGCCCTTTAGATAGCTCCTTGATGGAATCTTGGTGTTGTTGCCTAAGCAACGCTTAGATAACAAACGCCAGGTTGTACCCTTATAACCTAGCATCTGCGTGTTGCCCAAGCAGCGCTTAGACAACGCGCACAAGCACTTGGCATAACCTTTCTCTAACAAGTAAATAAACACTGCGCGAGGCAGAGTAGATAGCTCTCTATTGAATACAATCCTTGTATACCCAAGCGTTTGCTCCACAGAGCGCAGCCCCTTACAGACGTCTTTATTATAGATACTATACTTAGCCTTTGTCTTCTTTATAAGCTTAAACTAGCTCTTAATTAAGACTAGATCTTTATATAAAGCTCTCTGCCTATTATACACTTAATTAAAACGCGTTATAAGACTGTTAGTACGCTTAACAAAGTTGCGCGGCTAGTGGACGCTAACCTAGCTAGCGCCGCGCGCAGCTAGCAGTCTATTAGCTATATCTCGCATAGCTGCATAGGTAGGCGAAAATCCACGTAGATCCAGATTAAGTACATAATTAATTATTACCTGCTCTTCTAGCTTAGTAAGCTTCTTTAAGTTAGGCTAGCAATCGCGTTAGGCAGGCTTGCTAACGCGTTAGT